TTTCTTTCTTTCTTTCTTTCTTTCTTTCTTTCTTTCTTTCTTTCTTTTTTTCTTTTTTTTCTGGCTTGTTTGTTTTCTAAAGAGAGAGAAAGATGGAGTGGAGTTGGATGGGTCTTGTGATGTGGGGAGGATAATGAGGGTTTGAGGGAAGGGAATCTATGGTCAGTTAAGAAAGATGCTATGCCATAATTTCATTTACCTAGTGGCCTTAACAGTTTTTAATTTTACAGGATAGTATAGAGCAATAGTTTTTAAAGTCTCAGTGTGGTATCCTGTTAGAGCAGAGGCAATGGAGCTCCTGCTTATACTTTTATGTCATAAAATATCATTAAATTTTAGTTTCTGAGCATACTGTGGTAGAAAAATGGTGAATAAAAGGAAGTGGCCTCCACCCAGCTATTGTTACTGTGGCTGCTGCACATTTCTGCCTGTGTTTCCCTGTATTTGTAAAAGTGAGAGCACATGCAGTTGTGACTGCCTTCTTCATTTTCAAAACTATGATAGTATAATATAGATACGTGTTTTCTCTTAAAAGTAGTTTTAGTCTCAGGATGTGGCTCAGTTGCAGTGTTTGCCTAACATGCCTGATTTGCTTTCTAGCAGCAAAAGAAGAACATCACTTTAGCTTTAGAATATCACCTATTATCAGTACACTTTTATTAAATTCTTTGTTTTCATCAATAGGGTTAGTTTCAAATTTTCAATGTATTTGACAATCTTTCTTTAAAACTGAGTATGTTTTACTTTGTTGGTTCTTTTTTATTTTTATTTTTTATATTAATTACAGTTTATTTACTTTGTATCCCAACTGTAGCCTCCTTCCTCATCTCCTTCCATGCCCCTTTCCAAGTCCACTGATGAGGAAGGTCCTCCTCCCCTTCCATCTGACCCTAGCTTATCAGGTCTCCTCAGGACTGGCTGCAATGTCTTCCTCTGTGGCCTGGCAAGGCTGCTCTCCCATTAGCGAGAAGTGATCAAAGAGCCATCCACTGAGTTCATGTCAGAGACAGTCCTTGTTCCCCTTACCAGGGAACCCATTTGGATACTGAGCTGCGATGGGCTATATCTGTGCAGGGGTTCTAGCTTATATTCATGCATGATCCTTGGTTGGAATATCACGCCCAGAAAAGATCCCTGGGCCCAGATTTCTTGCTTCTGTTACTCTCCTTGTGGAGCTCCTGTCTCCTCCAGTTCTTTCTATCTCCTCCTTCATTCATTCCTGTACTCTGCCCTAAGTTTGGCTATGAGCCTCAGCATCTGCTTTGATATATTGCTGGGTAGAGTCTTTCAGAGGCCCTCTGCGGTAGGCTCCTTTACTGTGTCCTCTTTTCTCCCTCTTCCCATGTCCATCCTGTTTGCCTTTCTGAGTGAGGATTGATCCTCTTACCCAGGGTCCTCCTTCTTGTTTAGCTTCTTTAGGTGTAAAGTTTTTAGTATGTTTATCCTATATTATATGTCTAATATCTGCTTTTAAGTGAGTATATACTATGTGTGTCTTTCTGCTTCTTGGCTACCTCACTCAGGATGATCTTTTCTAGATCCTACCATTTGCCTGCAAATTTAATGATTTCCTTGTTTTTAATTGCTGAGTAATATTCTATTCTGTAAATATACCACAATTTCTGTATCCATTCAAAACGACCCTGAGATTTCACCTTATACCCATCAGAATGGCTAAGATCAAAAACTCAAGTGACAACACATGCTGGAGAGGATATAGAGAAAGGGAACCCTCCTCCATTGCTGGTGGGAATGTAAACCTTTACAACCACGTCTGGAAATCAACCTGGCACTTTCTCAGACAATTAGGAATAGTGCTTCCTCAAGATCCAGCTATACTACTCCTGGGCATATGTCTAAAATATGCTCAAGTATACAACAAGGACATTTGCTCAACCATGTTCGTAGCAGCTTTATTTGTAATAGCCAGAATCTGGAAACTTTGTTGGTTCTTAAATCTGTTGAGAGTATATAAACTAAGATTTATTTATGAGGTCCTAAACTTCTTCCCAACAAAATGACCCTAATATGTGTTGTGCCAATAATGGCAGAGTGACCCTTCAGCACATTCTGCACAATATTGAAGCATTTGTGTGTCAATATTTTGCACCATGATATCATTTTCTAACTTTTGCTAACTGGGATCTAACAGCTTAGCTCAGCTCACCCACCAACATTTCAGTTTATCATCTAATATAGCAAACAGCACCTTTTAGACTGGGTAGATTAGCACAGTGGCTAACAGTCTCCTGTTCCATATGAGTGTCACCTTCTCTTCTTGAGGGTGTACAATGAGTGCCATCACTGATAATTCTAACAGTTGTTTACTTTCTGTTTCATGCCTTAAGAAGACACAAATAAAGCTCTTTCAAACATTATCAGAAAAATTTCTAATGACAAGAGAATTGTTAGTTATATAATGATCATTACCTGATATGCTTAGATTTCCAGTTATAGCATAGTTGAGATCTACTTAAATTTCTGTTAATCTATAACAATAGGCTATAATTTATCCAGGCAGCCAATATGTTTATCAGAGTTGTTGCCATTTGTATTTGAGTATTTTTCAATCTAAAATAATACTGAATTTTAAAAACAGCCTTATAAAGTGTACATTAACAATACTGTCATTGCAAAGTCAAACTATAAACATACTTTTTTATTTAAAGTTTTTTTTTTTTTTGTATTCTATAATATATCCTGATTATAGTTTCCTTTCCTTCTACTACTTGCAGTTTATTCCCACTTCCTCTTCTATCTATATCCACCCCTTTCTGTCTCTGTGAGTTCGAGGCAATCCTGGTCTAGAAAGTGAGTCCAGGACAGCCAAGCCACTTAGAGAAACCCCGTCTTGAAAAACAAAAACAAAGAGATAAATTTTAAAAAAATGACAAAAGCCCCGACATGACATTATGAAACAGGGACCCTGCAAAGATGCCATTGAGTTTGTTTTCTGTTGGCCATCAAGTGCTGGGCATACAGCCTGCCCTTACTGGGCATGCAGCCTGCCCTTATGAGTAGTTTATTTTCCCAGTGAGATGCCTGTGGATAAAACTAAATGTTCATTTGCAAGTGCTTATCAGTTGGAGCTAGCTCCAGGGTTAGGGATGGGGATGTGTGTCCACTGCTTCTTTCAGCTCTAATACCCCATCTGGTGCAGACCCGTGCAGGCCTGTGCATGCCGCCGTAGTCCCAGTGAATTCTTATGTTCCCCAGCCCTGTTATGTCTAGAAGGCCTTGATTCCTTGGTGTCCTCCATCCCCTCTGGCTCTTACACACTTTCCACTACCTCTTCCGCAGGGTTTCCAGAGACATTCCCTTGAGGCCTTATTGCTTCCAGTTCTTTCACTCTCTGCTCTTGCCGAGAGTCTCTGTATTTGTTCCCATCTACTGCAGGAGGAAGCTTATCTGAAGAGCAAGGCTCTTTTGAGTTTGGCAGAATGTCACTAGGAGTCATTTTATCACTGAGTTCTCTTACCTAAAATACTAATCTTTGGTTTTATTCTCAGTCCCTGGGAAGTCTTTTCTCAGATTCTGGGTCACCCAAGCAGTGTCATGTATGGGTTCCATCTCGTGGACTGGGTCTTAGGTCAAATCTTATATAGGTTGGTTACTCCTACAAGGTGTTTGTGCTGCATTGCTCAAACGTGTCCACATTCAAGCTTTGGAACAAGGCCTGTGGAAGTGGTTACTGGTTGTCTCATGTTTTCTGTTTCCCTGTCGTGTTTCTGTGGTGCTCACCTTCTGTCCCTCCTTCACCTTTTCTGCAGCACTTGACTAAGACCTCCATAGATAGACCTGGCCTGGCCTTTCACCTGCCTGGCTACCATTACCATTAAGGTTACCCCTGCTGACTTTATACTGTAGAAGCTTAATTCTGGAGCATCCCAATTATATCCTAGTAGTGTGTTCTTGCTGACCATAGAGTAAATAAGACAACACTAAGCAATAAACCCACATATAAAATAGAAAGCAGTTTTTTAGTAAGGATTTGATAGGCCAGTAGGAATTTTGAGCCACAGAAATGCAAAATTACTTGCTCTCAAAGCTGCTTGCTAAGAAGTGAAAGAACTGAGATCCTAATTTGGATCTAATTTGTATATTAATGTGTGCTTTTATTTCTTAGAAATAATATCCTATGATATTTCATGTTTGTCATAAGGTTTGTATTTTTTTACTATTTAACCAGCAAAAATTTTAAAACATAACCGATATCCAGTTTTGTTATAAGAAATAATGCAAATATGTTAAATATGTAGATGGGTAGTTATCTCCTAGATATTAGTGGACAGTCGGGTTGCTGCAATTTTTTCTTGGTTAGGTTTAACAGTTGTGGAATCATACTTAAAAACTGTAAGGCTATAGCTGTAACTGTCACATGGGTTTTGTTTATTCAAGATCTAGTTTTAGAAATCTTTTTTTTTTAAATGTTGGTGCTAGAGCTTAAATTCAGGGCTCTTTGCATATTAATCACAGTATTAGTAAGATTTGTTTTATTATAGGATTGTATGTTAAAACAGGTATTATTTTAAACATTTTGGCTCAGAAATGTGTTTATCAGTGTAAATCATTGATGGTTGAAACTTGAGATTTTTAGATGGTTGGTTCCATCTAAAAAAAAAAAAATGTATGTATAGTTTCATTATATTCCAAAAATATAAATCTAATTTGTAACATATTTTAAAATAATCGCTTTATTCACTTTCTTTTCTTGCAAGTCAATGATACCCTTGATGACATCTTTGATGGGTCTGATGATGAAGAAGAAAGCCAAGACATTGTTAATCAAGTTCTTGACGAAATCGGGATTGAAATCTCTGGAAAGGTAAGAACAGCCTGTTTTCATAATGGAAATAGCTTTCGTCGTTTGTTTGGCCAGTTCATTAGTGCTACCTGCATGGATTTCTATGTGTGTCAGAAGAAAGTGTGTTGTCTGTCCTCATCCAGATGCTTGCTAACTTTTCTCTCACATTTTTGTATGTCATATAGATGGCCAAAGCTCCATCAGCTGCAAGAAGCTTACCGTCTGCTTCCACTTCAAAGGCTACCATCTCCGATGAAGAGATTGAACGGCAACTCAAAGCTTTAGGGGTAGATTAGATCAAAAAGCCATATTGTTTTCACTTTGGCCTAAAGTGAGTCCGGTGTAGATTCCTTTTACAAATACATTCATTTTGCAAAAAGACCATGAGTGAACAGTTGTTTCTTGACCCATGGCTATTTTGAATCTTTTGCCAAAGAATGCCAGTGATGTAAAATTGGGAACAGATTGGGTTTTAACTAGAACCACCAAGGTCTGATGATGTGTGCAAGCTGAGTTTTTTTCTGCATGGCATAGAGAAATGGTGTCATTATTTAGTGTCGGGTTGTGTTCTAAATCTTTTTACACCAAGGTCAGAATTCTTGTTAAATGCTATTAGGCACCAACGTAAAGAGATTTGTAAAAATATTAAAGGTATATTGCTAATTTTGTATCTGTTGCTTGTCCTTTGTAGACAGTTATGTTAGGATCACAGAAGACAGTGCAGCTGCCAAATTATTTTTAAACCTTCTAAAAGAAGAGTGCTATTTAAACATCTGTCTTAAAAACTGTCATGAGCTTTTACTTTTCTTCCATTTTTCCCCCTTTGGGAGAACATTCTAGTTGGTAAGTTTATTACCTTTCAAAATGTGCTTGGCACCTGCCTTAAATAGCACAAACATATTGTGCACATCTTTAAATTATTTTAACTGGCAAAAAAGAATTACATTTTAAAATAAAATTGAGACTTAGAACGCTTACCCAAGCTGTCTTGTAAAGCTTATAAAAAGAGAATTGGATATAATTAGCAAAATGAAGAAAGAAGACACTGAATTAATAACATTTTATAGTAATGAAACTATACTTTGGTCTTTCTTCCAAGAACTGAGATTTTCTCCATATGAATTATAACTTAGCCTGTGTTGAATTTTGAATTGTATTAATATACACATTAAACCCTCCAAATTGAAGCCATTCTTCTAAATGAAGTAATACTAACATGACAATACTTGACCTAGATTTTTAAAGTAAAAGCGTTTTTGTTTTGTTATGTGTTTAGTAAATAAACCTGCAGCTTTGTCAGAAATTGCTGCCTAAAGTGCATCATTGTTTTTGCAGTAGTTTTAAAGGTAAGATAGTTATATCATAGAGCAAGAGAAAGAGAAGGATGCCGCAGAGTTGAAAAGAAAACAGGTTAATTTTGAAGAATGATGTTGTAAACTATGGATTCTGGCACATCTCAACACAAAACTGTAGAACTGCCGGTCAGTGTAAGCTGGCAAAGCCTGAGTGATAGACTTTGGACTTGCCGGTTAACAAAGGTGTACTACAACGATATACGTGGGTCATAGAGGTACAGAGAGCAGAAGCTCCACCAGCTGCTTTAGAATCCAGAACCATTTGTGTTCAGAGAGTTCCATAATGTCAGTCTAAGTGCACAATTCCCATTGTCTCTGAATAAGTCCAAACATTGTACTGTATCATGGGGTCTTGCACCCACACATGTTTTAGATGTACATAATAATGTTGTCTAACCTAATTTACTTTCTTGTTTACATGTGGGAGCTTTGATTTTTAAGATTATTTTGTCTTAAAAAAAAAAACTCAATAAAGATTTATTGCTCTTACCCGTTTTTATGAACTCCTTTACGTAGTTTTTGAGTTCTTTTAAGGTTATAAATTTTGTTTATATCTAATAGTTTAAGTGATAATTTTTATCTTTCTGTAAGGAAATTTCGATACCTTTTCAACTTAAAATTTGTAAAAACAACAGAAAATATCTGTTTTAAGAACTGAAAATTGTTACTGGACTGTGTTTTGGCAGTGAGGCAAACTCAACAAGCATTAGTTTCCAATGAAATGGACTTAATCATTCTTTTCCTGCAGTCTTCAAGAACATTTAAAAGGTATGTTTTCAAATGCACAAGTATCATATAATTGCTTCTATTTTAGTTAACTACAAGTCCATAAAACTTTGAACCCAAAATTGATAGTAAAATTATTCTGATGTGACTACAATTATAAATGTTTTCGAAGGCACATTACAATCACAGTAACTCCATCAGTAATTTCATTCTCTTTTACTAAAATACTTCACTTTAGACCCTTAAAATATAGGAAATAGTGACTTTTATTGGTTGAGCATTAGAGAAATGATTTTTTTAAAAACCATCCCATTTTTTGGTAATAGGATTTCTCTAGCATTTATACCCGAAGAGCATGGGTTTGCCACTCGACAGGGAGTGGACCAATACAGCCGTATATCTGCCGAGAAAAGAGGTCTATCCCAGGCCGTGGATGGAGGAGATTTCAGAATATCAAAGGAATGGCATGTAGTATGGACATGCTAATGCACATGATAATGACACTTGGTATTAGGCAGCATAAAATGACCATGTGGCAGGTTGTGTAACAGAGTGGACTTGATGCTTGAAGGGAGTACCTGGTAAGTAGGGGTTGGCGTAAGGAAGCCCAAGATTGAAATACATGAAACAGAGGGCAGAAATAATTTGGAAAGGCTGCGGCTTTATGTTGTTTGATATTTACAGTAATTTATATTTTATTATTCCCTTTGAATGCCCATAGGAACAGACTTCCTTCAGTTGGCTGCATACTCTGTGACAAGCACAGTGTCCACTTGTCCACTTTCTGGCCTGATTTAGATGCTGCTTTGATTTATGATACCCTTTGTTTAGCAAGGATTGTCTGGGTCTGAAAAGAGACCTATAATTTTCTCTTTATTACAAAAGAGTTTCTCAGCAGTAGACAAAGCTTAATTTTCCAATTTTGTCTTTGCAGAAGCTGAGTCTACAAGGTAACTTAAAATGGTTCTTTTAACTTTAATTCCTTTAAAAGGAGTAAAGGAAGCCTAAGGATTGGGAAGCCTAAAGATTATTAAGTATTGACACATATCCTTTATTGTCCCTCAGGACCTAAAAGAACATATCCTCCCATCCCCTAAACCTTGAAAATATTTCACCAAGAAATTCTTTCCACTGTTAGAGACAGAAGGTACATTGCATGAGTGTTTTTTCAGGCACTTCTGTTACAAAACGTTTAATGTCGACATAAGCGACGAGCAGATCTTTCCATTTTAATGATTTCGCATTGGATTCCTGAAGGCATACACTGTGTAGCCCACAGGACATAAAATAGAAAGTCTGTGCAGTCTTTGGTATTTATTCCCTAGAGTCTGAATAGTAACAGTAAATTGGGTTTATCATTTCCTTAATTGCAGTTTAGGACTCTAAGTGACATAAAGCCTCTCTGTTTTAAAGGTTAAAATCTAATAAAATATTAAACACGGCTAGGAAATAGTCTCAAAATGCATTAATGCAAATGAGTCTACTGCCTACACTCGAAAAGATAACATTATGGACACATAATTATTTTCACATAAATCATACCACCAGATCCATGTTTGAAATAAAAAAGCAACTGGTCTAGGTTTATTTTGCATTGAATTTTGCTTCTGTTTCCAGCTTTCAAAATGCAATGTGAAGTTTTGTATATGTATGTGTGTATATGTGTATGTGATAATACTACCATTTACAAACTAATGTGTGTTTTACACAGTTTAAAAAATAATAGTTATCCAGAGATATTTACATATGAAAGACAATCATTTGGAATTCTTGAATTGTGTCCAACACATATTAGATGTTGCGTCCCTGCCTCAGTTTGAGTATTTTGTTTGGAAAGTATCTGTGTTACTAAACTGGCCCTCTTCTCTTTATATTTTGAGATACAATCTCACTGGTTTGAGTTCACGTTGAAGCCACGCAAAGTTTTCGATCCAAGATGTTCTTGAGAGCTGCTGAGATTACAAGCTTGCTGCCAAAAAGCCCACGTTTAGTACTGTTTAATAATATAAAAAAGGAAACAGGGGATGGCATAATTTATTTGGAAAGTAATCTTGACTGATAAATTCTCATCTAATTTCAACTTGTGTTACACAAAATAGGTTAGATGAATATTGCTGGTGGAGTGGCATTAAAAATGCCAAAGTTGCTGTTACAGATAAGCATCTCATTACAGGGTACTTCTACTTACAAGTTTCAAAGGAGTTCATTTTCAGAGATTCAATAAGTATCTTCCTTGGTATTTTCCCAGAATTAAAAAGTTCAGTATTTCCAACTTTTAATAATTATTATCACGTTGTTACCAGTCCTACCAAAATTGACAGATTGGTAAGGGAGCTCAGGCGAGGGTCTACAGTGAGCAACACCGTAGATTTTTCTAGTTGGCTGTGTCCCTCATATTTGAAGCAGTTGTGCACCTAGCAGCGTAGTTCATACATACCAGCTATGAGCAAGCACTCTCGTCACTGGGAAAACAACAGACAAACCGCTGAGTCTTACCCTGTGGCAGCTTACAGGGTAATAGATTAATCATAGACGTCTGCAATCCCTAACACATGTTTTTGTTTCTTTTTAAATTTCAGTTGTGCTCAGGATTAAAACTCCAGGACCTGAAACTAGAAATCACTCTGTCAGTCACTGAGTTTAAGCTTGCACTGTTTTTTTATAGTGGAGCAGCAGAAAGCTAATGTCTGTGAAAGAACGCAGACACCACGCCTCGATGTTTCTACAAATCTTTCTAAACACACTTCTTCAGGAGCAAGCCCTAAGTGTTAATTTCAAAGATATCAATAGATTCTGACTGAAGACAATCATCTCTTACTCTTCAAACATTACTCAAAAAAAAAAAAACAAAAAAAACTAGGGTTAATGGCATACTGATATAAAGCAATAGATTTGAAGATAAAGCAGTAACTTTCTTTTTCATTTCTAGATGTATTTTTATGTGTAGGAGTGTTATGCTTACATGCATGTCTGTGCACCACATGCATGCCTTATGCCCATGGGGGACAGAAAAGTCATTGGAGTCCCCTTGAAGATGGTGTGACAGGCAGTTGTGAGCCATGTGGGTACTGGGTGTGGAACACAGGTCCTCCAGAAGAGCAATAGATGCCCCTAACCATTGAGACATCTCTCAGCCAAGTCAATACACTCTCAACTTGACCTTCCCTGGCTCATATTCTCTAAACATTTGTCCTTACTGATTAAAAAATTAAAAACAGTCAATTGGCTTAGAAAAGAAAAATTTTAACTAAAACTTCCACCTACATGCTAGCCTCTCTCCCCGTTAGCCCTGTCTGTGTGTTACCTGCAGAGGCAGAATGGATGAGGTATTGTGAGCAGGGGGTTCTGGTAGGTTGTTAGTGTTTTAGAATTAAAGTGAACATCATGAATTCTGAGAAGAATTAGATAAATGTCTTATTTAAGTCTTTGGATCTAAAAACAGAAGAAAGTTAAACAAAACTGCAGAAGTTATTGATTTAATCTAGTTTTTTCAGCTAAGCAAGTGAGTAACTTCTGATTTGGCTACCGCAAGCCTTATCTGCACTCAAGGTGCTCCTTCGAAAGAGAGAACAGACTTTGACTGAGACTCGTTTTCACCCGTTTTTCTCGCTGCCTTCGGTTGCAAAACCACACCCTTACTACTTCTTTCTCCAGATTCAGCTCTTCAGCCATCCGCATGATCTCCTGGGAGGAAGGCTTGCTCTGCTCGCTGAAGTGTCTCTCCAAAGCATCCTTGGCCGCGATACTGGGGAGGACGGGGCGGGGGACAGGCGGAGGGGAAGGGTTGGGATAAAATTATGTTTCTTTCAATTAAGTTCTTGGAAGAATAAAATGAAGTTTAACTTTCTAAATATTACCACTAAGAAGTAACTACGATTCTGAAAACACTCACAAAAGAAGAATCTGTGACTCTTTTTGTTTTGTTTTGTTTTTTACACAGAGGCATATCTTATTCCTGATAAAATCATAGGCAAAAACTAGAGAACCCAGGTTCTCTCTGTAGATGTCATTTTATGCCACAAGGGGGCACCAAGTTCTTGACAAAGAAAAGGAATTGTAGGCCTAATTACAACCACCCCCCACACACCTGCCCATCATGTACCCCAGTCATCCCCATTATAATACAGGACATGTGCAATTGACAATTATTACTTCTTACTGGAACCTCACAGAACCCAAGTATCACTAACATGCTTCACAGTTCAATGATAGGGGCCAAATGAAACCTTGAGACACACTGGTGACTCCTTTTGTTTTCTTACTCATGGTACTGCCTTAGTAAAACAAGAACTTTTATCTACAAGGATAGCAGCAAATTACTTGGTTTCTGTTTTTAACCAAAATAAACAGTGAATCAAACAATGCGCATTTGTCCATTCAATGTTAAAACTATCATCTTAGTTTCTCATGAATTTGCTTTTTTTTTAAAAATTTCTTCAATTATTTATATTCACTGCATATGTTATGTTGCTCTTATACTAAAATGCTGATTCCCCCACTACTGACGCAGTATTGTACATGCTGGTTTTGTATTTCTGGTAGCTTGACATTTGTTAACTCACACTGCAGCTGTGATTGTAACAAATTGATTGTTTTGGATGTTGCTATAGTGACCTGCAGTCCTCTGTTTTTCTGCTCCGGGAGGGGACAAATGAAACACCAGAGTTAGCTTACTCTTCATGTCTGGTGTTGGTCATGCTGAAATTACAGTGTAAGAGAATGCCACAAACATTATGAGAATGTGCCTCTGTGCTTTCTGGTCATGCTATGTGGTGAACCAACTTTAAGGTCTGATCAAGTTATTCCCTTCCTGCCCAACTCCACGTTTCGCTAAGGAATTAATTTGCACATGGACCATTCTCAACAATTTTTCTCACAAATGTGAGTCATTATGTACCCACTGTACATGGAGCAAAATAAACTTACAGATCTGATGGGAAAAAAAGTTGACTCCATGTGAACACTTTCTTTCTCTAGTAAATTTATTGTCTCAAAAAGAATACCTGATAGTTGTTCTCCGTTTCCTTTTCCTTTCATTTGCTCCCACTTTTTCATTGTACAAAGCTGTAATGTGGAAAAGAGATAATAATAAACAGATGCTAATTTTAAATTATCACTTCTTGGTCTCTATTTTTCTGTATAAAATAATGCAAACTATAATTACTATAAGCCTTTCTGTCTCAAGTGTAAAATAGGTCATTTTATATTGCATGCTACAAGGAAAAAAGTGTTTAAGAAAAATAAATGTAAATCTCATAAAGATGATTTTTCCACAAATCCTAGTCCTGTTGGAGCACTCATTGTCAAGGCTTCCAGTTTTGTTGTTTTTTTATTTTTGATTGTGTGTGTGTGTGTGTTGTGTCTAGGTATGGGCTAATGAGTACGGGTACCCATGGAGACCAGCAGAGGCCATCAGATGCCTTGGAATTGGGGTTACAGGTGGTTTGAACTACAGGATGTGAGGGCTGGAGACTAAATTCCTATCCTCGAGAGCAGTGAGTGTTCTGGGTACCTGATGTGTCCCTCCTCTGTGTGTGACTGTGTGTGAAATTCCAAGATTGTATTTCTATTTCATGACGGTGTTTATTGAACAGACCGCTGTGAACACTAGTATCAGGTTGTAAAAGCAGTTGCTATAAGTTACTCCAGGTATAACAAAAACAGAAATAGACATGTGGATTCCTGAGAGTGCTTTGTTACCTAGAAAGCTTCCCCACGCGGCTTGGGTTTCCTCGGTGAATTTCTCTCTACACTTGAGTTGCATTAGTCTTTTCCCCCTTTCATCTACCCAAGACATTTATTTTTCGTTTCAAAGAGACTAAAAAGCCCTGCAACCTCCCGTCTCAGCGCGCACTCTGCCCCCTGCCCCGGTTGTGGCCACAGCCCATGCTGCAGAGATTCCCTTCAGTACCTCCGACCTGCTCAGCTTCCTCCAGCCACTTGGATAAAATCGCTTTCAGTTTACATGCGTTTTTGAAACTGAGCTGCAAGTTTTCAAATCGACAGATGGTTGTTTGACTGAATTCTGAGCCGTGCACAGCAGCCAGAGCTTCGCCCACGTTTGTCTGGGTGTATCCTGTGGAAGGGTGAGAGGCGGCTTTAGTTCCAGGAAGATCAGAGCGGGTCCGTCAGCGCACACGTTGGATCTCTGTGAATTACTCTTTAAAAATTCTTCCATCATTTGACAGTTTACAATTATTTAGGCTCAGAATAGGATTATAAATTACATAAAAATGTTCCTTCTAGTTAGTTAATTTTTCTTCTTAAAGTCAGAAGGACTCCCATGTAAACATAGTAGCACTGAACAGATACTCATGAGCCTGTCGTGACACTTGATAATGAATGTAGAAATTGTTGGCCTTTTTAGGATTATCAAATATGATACACGCTCAAAATATTTAACCCATCAATTAATAGTACACAAAGTAGATTAAGCATGTGTTTATGTGCAGATGAAAATTTCAACAACGATTGTTATAACAAATAAAAGCAAGATCGAGGCTTACTTTACCTAAAAACATTTTATTCAAAAGCCTGGCTCTGGTCAGTCCCACATTTTATGCATACCTCCAAACAGACTTAGTATATTATTTGGTAATACATCTATTTCCCAGTAACAGGTCCTTATCACTTGCCTCAAAAACAAACAAAAAAAAATCTGGAATATAAGATAAAATAAGCCATCAACATATAATTTTAAACCTCCATTGCAATAGAAACAGAACTGAAAATAAGTATGATAATGATGCCTCCTGCTGTTTATACATGTAGTCAGTACATATTATTTCAGTGCCTACGGCTGCATACCTATGTGCATAATATGACTGCATACGATGAGCAGCAATAAATGTCGTTACAAATTACCTACAGCTCATTCTACAAGTTCAGAGGTTTGAGGTTCAAGCCATTAAAAAGGGCATTTTTTTTTTCATGAATTTGAACCACAATTAGTTGTTATGGTTTTTCTATTTCAAAAATGCTTTTTAGTAGAAAATGAACAGTGGTTTGGAATAGGCAATTCAAAGAAAAGGAAATACAAATGAACACTAAAGAGGAACAAATGACAATGATTTAAAATAAAATTTGCATTTTGAATCAAACTGCGATGCAGCGCCGCTTTGTCTTTTCTGATTCAAAAGGTCCCAGTGACTAGAAGCACATCGTTCCTTCAGCCACTGCTTACTTATTACATACTCTGTTTTTTTGCCCTACGCTGGAGACAGAAGAGATATGTGTGGTGGCAAAATCCTGTAGAGTTTAACATCTATCAAAACACAATATTGTTTGATCAACAATTCGGGGCCGACGTTTTCTGTTCACATGTTTATATAGATGCAAAAGCGTATTTATAGATCTAACAATTGTGTCATTGTTTTCATTACTAAGAAGTTAAAACTATGTAAGAGACCTAGTTAAATAAACTAGTGTTTTTATATTTATAAGGTGGTAGTTAACAGATACAGCCCCAAGTGAACTCTTGAAAAACTCCACAAAATATGTATGTATAAAAGAATACGTGCACGTCCTTATAGAAGTGTAAAATACCTCTAGAAAGATTTGCAAGAACTCAATGCTAGTAAAAAAAAATTTTAAAGACTAATGTGAGTTACACTCTCTCCTCACTTCAAATCATAAGAATGAAGTATCTATTGAAAAATTCAAGTAGAATATTAAAGGGAGCACTTTAAAGCTAATCCAGAGGAAGGCTAAATCTTATGAAGTAACATTAACTTTAAAAAAAAAAAGTGTTTTTATCCTGTTAAGAATTGACAGAGAATTAAAGAATGTTGCTGTTTGTTTTAGTTTTCCCAATTTGACTAGAATAAATGCACGAAAAAATTGAGAATGTGAAGGGTCTTGAGCTATTAAAAAGTGTATAAAATATCTCACGGTAACTAGAGTAACGGTTTGCAAATAGTTGTTTGACCCATCAGGGTTAACAAAGGCATACCTAACTTAATTCTTCTCACTTTAAATTCGTTGGCAAATTGTTCAAGTTGTCGGATCTCTGGGGAATCCATGTCTATTGGCTCTTCTACCAATTTACTTTTCCGCCTGAGTTCCTGCTTAAATTCAGAGGCTGTGGGGTCCTCTGCCAGGAGAGGCTGATGCAGAGGAGGAAATCCATGACTTAGGGTATGGTCTGGAAACTTGTAAAGACAAGGGGTTAAGCTGCCTGTGGATAAAGAGAGAGAAAAGGAGTGTTGGTAATAATGGCTATCTCTACACAAGCGACACCCTCTGTTAGAGTATAATTAACTCAGTTTGCATTTCAAGGCAGGTATAGCCCAGGCTCACCATGACCTTGCTAATTCTACAACCTCAGCTTCTCAGATTCTGGAATTACTGGTAATGCCACACTGATTGAAGCTTAATTTATACAAGTAACCTCATGTTCAGTCTCCTAAAGTAAGACCCAGATTAGGCCCTGAGTTGGAATGAGATTATTTACTATCCACCTTTCTTAGAACAAAACCAAAGTTAATGTCAAAGGAGGAGAAAATTGTTAAATACCTAAGTATAAGATTCCATTTTTCTCGTAAAAGGAGACGTATTGGCCGGGAGTGGTGGCACATGCCTTTAATCCCAACACTCCGGAAGCGGAGGCAGGCAGATCTCTTGTGAGTTTGATGCCAGCCTGGTCTACAAAGTGAGTCCAAAACAGGCAGGGCTCTGTTACAGAGAGAAACACTGTCTCAAGCAAGCAAGCAAACAAACAAACAAAGATGTGTCTTCCTGACAGATTGTTTTGTTAAAAAAAAAAAAATATATATATATATATATATATATATTTTGTACTTTATATGATGCTGAGAATTTTTTATAACTGGGATATTAATTTTACAGCACTATATAGTTTTGACAGTAAATGCCTAACTTCAATTAGAAAATAAGCATGTTTTTAAATATGATAAAAGCATAAGATTATGAGATTAAAATACATAATTGTAGTTAAGTCAATTTAATGAGTCAGAGAAACAAAAGTTAACCTTTGATGTTCTATTAAAATATTGTGACAAGCCCTCTTGAAAAGTAAACAATATAATGAAACCAGTTTCTTTTTTCATAATTACTTAAAGAAAAGCAAAAATAAAACACAAAGGAGGAGACAATGCTAGACATGAAAAGGAATTATCCATGAAGGTTGTAGCGTTGGCTTGACTTCTCTGTAGTATATCCTAGTAAACATCAATTGTCTGAAAACTTTACAGATTCCAGTGTTCATTTGCAAAGTCGATTCTACCTCAGCTTGGGATCCTACTGCCAAGATGGCACAGCAGAAAAATTCCAACATATTTTATTTCACTTTTTCTTCATTGACAAATTACTATTTTTATTACTGAAGATTTCACTTCTGCTTACATTAAATGCCATGCATTACCAAAATAATCGAATAATTGACCAGTATCATGAGCATAAAAAAAACAAGTTTCAAAACATGTTTAAAAATATACCAATATTCCATAACTGCATTCATAAGTTTAAAAAAATTAGTAATAATATAAATGTAAATCTTCTACTAATACATAAATATTTGATAAGCAATAGTAATATAATTCAGCAAGTTATTAGTTTATATTATTTATATAAGAATATGTAATAATAAAGGTCATCTCTGTTCAAAAGAATAAATTATTTTTTCCAATAAAATTAAACATGAAATTGCATAAAATAAATTCAGCTACTGCACAAATGAGATAAAGGTTTAAGATAAACTATTTCTTCTTTTTAGATTTATTGAATTTTCGTGTATGAATGTTTATGCTCATGTATATGTGTGTCTCTTGTGTACAGCTGTCTGTGGAGGTCAGCAGAGGGCATCGGCTAACCTGGAACTGTGGTCAGAGATGGTTGTGAACCATCATGTGAGCGCTATAAACCACTCTTGGAGTCTTTTGCAAGAACAGCAAATGCTGTTAACTACTGACCCATTTCTTCAAGCGAAGAAAGAAACTATTTTTGTTGTTAAAAATATATATACTACTTTTATAAACTGTAATTGTTCAGTTAAATAAATTTCTGGTTATCCTTTAATAAGAAATGATACTATAAGGTCTGAATATTAAACATCCTGCCCATTATTTTCGATTCCTCATGCCATCACTTTCCTGAGGTACTTTAAGACCTCTACAAGATATACCTGTCCAAGATATATCTGTCCATTTCACATTAGTCAGGCTCCTTTTCCATATAAAATTAATGGGTTAGAAAGAAAAAGATGGCTCTTACTCTCTCTTACATGCTCTCTCTCTCTCACTCTCTCTTACTTTCTCTCTCTCTCTCTCTCAGGGCACCCCATTCCCCTTTCTTTCTCTCTTCCCACCATGTCTTGTTTCCCACTCCCTCCATACCCACTTAATAAATCTCTTGCATAGAAGAAAAAAAAAAGAAAGAAAGAAAAGGATGTATATTTCCCCCACAGTTTACAATGTAAGATCATCCTGAGTGAGCTGTCCCAGAAGCAGAAAGACACACATGGTATATACTCACTCATTTAGACATATAACATAGGATAAACTTACTAAAAACTGTACATCTAAAGAAACTAAGCAAGAGAGAGGACCCTGACTAAAACGCACAATCACCATCCTGAAAAGCAAAGAGGTTGGACATCAGAAGAAGAAAACAGAAAACAACCTAAGAACCTGCCACAGAGGGCCTCTGAA